TAATATATATGTATATATATTATACACACACACATATACACACACACAAAGAAAAACAAGTAGATAGAATAGAAAAAATAGAAAGCTAGTGACAACAAATTTGACAACAAATTGCTTTTGAAAATCCTCGGCACTCTTTCAATTTGTTTGCCTTGTTCACTACCTTCGTTTCTCCGTTGATGTGTTTTCGGCTTTGTCCATGACTTAATTTTCCTTTTAGCTCTTAATCTGTCGTTTACCTTATAAGCTAATGAGTACATGCACACTTTAAAGGTTTGAATTTAAGGTCAAATAAAGCAGGGAAATTATTGGTTCAGATGAGACTTTTGAAGTGTAGAGATTAAAAAGGCTTCTCAAGGGCCTGTGTTTGTGGTTTTCTTTTCTGGGCGGGACTTGTTAAAAGGGTCATATGATGCGATTTCAATTTTTCCTTTCTCTTTGAAGTGTTACAAGCTCTTGGTGCTTCAAGAAGATCTGTAAACTTGCAAAGACTAAAGTCTCAAATCAAAAAAAGAGATATTCTTTATAAAAGTTAAGACATGTCCACGCCCCCACATGTCTATGTCACTGTGTGGGAAGATTTGCATAACACCGCCCAAATGTTCATGCAAAGAAAGAAGGCGTAACTTTTATTCTCGCTGTAGTATTGTTGTTGCCACCGACGCCATGTTGTGGAGATGCTGTGATTCGTTGTGAAAGCGAAACTACTTTGTTTGGCCTTCCAAAAGAGGACGATATCCGCTTCGTCATGCCTAGAGCTGATCCGTGCTGGTCACTGAGGAAATACATCAACTTCGCGCTGTGGATCGCCGGATCGGCTTTCACCGTGTACGAAGCGGAGTCCAGCCCGGGGTTGTCACATGTGGTTGCTGCAAGCCCGCCGGCCACTCCTTCGTCGAATCCACCGGCCGCGCCGTTCTCAAGACCGTCGGCCGCCACTCACTCTAGCCCGCCGTGTGTGATGCTGTGTGACTTATACTGTCAAAGTTGTTGTATTTCCTCAGCGACCACGGATCAGCTCTAGGCATGACGAAGCAGATATCGTCCTCTTGAAGGCCAAACAAAGTAGTTTCGCTTTCAGAACGAATCACACAGCTCCTTCACGTCATGGCAGTGGCGGCGGCAACAATACTACAGCGAGAATAAAAGTTACGCCTTCTTTCTTTGTGTGAACATTTGGGCGGCGTTATGCAAATCTTCCCACATCGTGATGTAGACATGTGGGGGGCGTGTTAGAACGAGCCGTTTTAGGTAGGAGTGGCTGACTCTTAACTTTTATAAAGAATATCTCTTTGGATTTGAGACTTTAGTCTTTGCAACTTTACAGATCGTCTTTATGCACCAAGAGCTTGTAACACTCCAAAGAGAAAGGAAAAATTTAAATCGCATTAATTTTACAGTTAACAGATTTGGATCAAAAGCCCTAAAACCGATTTCATGGGGTTTGTAATATCACTAGAGAAACTGCCTGGAAGACGTTTGAAACAATTTCTAGCATCTAATGCCCTCAGTGTATTACAAATCCCTGTAATTAAGACTAACGAGAACAATCATGTACTTCAGCAGCAAACAGTCTGTTCATGAAGCCACTTAACGTCCGGTCGCACAGCAGGCGTCATTCGTCATAAATGAAAAGTCAATTTCCTTGCTCTTATCACGGCTGTTAAATAAGGATATTGACCTGTAAATTCCTCAAAAGGCTTTGGCGTCACGAGGCCCCGAACACTATTTGTTGTGATGGGGCCCCTTGTTTGTTTTTATCTAAGTGATTCGATATGTTCTGCAGTTGCAGCATAGTTTCTTATGACAGCTCTAAGCTTAGGGTTACCTCTCTTTTTTGCTTCTGAATAATTCATGAACAGAAATCCAATACTATTGAGTTGGAGTGAGGGGGACTCGAAAAAAAAAAAGTTGAATTACAAAACATTGCATTCTTTCATCTCATGAAGTTTTGCGAGGAGCAAGGGTCAATTAAGAGTCTTCTGGCTACGGTGAGTATGAATAATGCACCACAGGGCTGTAAAATCTTGGGAGACTTGCTTTACTTGTGTAGATTATTGACGCTCCTACCGCTTTTTTCCCCCTCCTCTCTCCTCAGGTGAAAAAGGACCCTTTGTCTGCTGCGTTCATGCCTCTGACTGTTCATGCCTCAATAGCCTGGAGGCAAAATGGGCCTAATTTGCACAGGTCTGTTTTGGGGCCAATTATTATAATACCAAATGTTCTGGAAACACAATAAAATTGAAAACAATAAAGAGCAGAGCCGCCAATATTGTCATACATTTTACATTTTAATGAATCTCTCATTAACGCTGTACTTTATCAGTTTGGCGATTTGCAGTGCTCCTCTTTTTCACATTTTTGAGTGTTGTTGTAAGATTTAATAGCTTTATATGTATAATATACATGGTACATTATATACAGAATGAATGTTTTAGTTTATCTATAGATTCAAGTTATAACTGAAGATGTTATTGCTCCTGACATTGATGTCTCAGGTATGTTCACAAAGAGCTTTCAGCTCACCGAGAAAACATACCTCAAGGGCAAGGTCTCATCTGGCACTCGAGAAAAAGTCCTTATGTGAACGGGAACATTGCACACTGTAAGTGTTGTCGTATTAATGAACATATGTTGAGTTATACAATGTATCGTATGTACACGGTGTCCTGCATGGCTTTAATAGGATAGTTCACCCAAAAATGAAAATTCTGTCAGCCTCATGTTGTTCCAAATTCGTATGAATACAAACAAAGATATTTCCATAGTTCCAGGCTGCATGTCGTTTTGGACCCCATTGACTTTCACTGTATTGGCAAAAACACAGAAGAAAGTAAGTCCTACGGTTTTGGAATGACATGAGGGTGACATAATTTACATTTTTGGCTGAACTATCCCATTAAAGTGTATTTAATAGTTTGTATACATGGTTTATAGGTGATCCGTTTTCCAAAACTATGTGAAAATAATCCATTGTTGTTTTGGACCTCCTTGTATGAAAAATTATAAAAAAAATATTTATAATAATTCAAAAGAGGTAACTGCAACTGCAGCCCTGGCTTTTCTGAAGTTTAAATCTCTCCAAAAAAAAAAAACTGTCAGACTTCAGATATAAACTCTAAATTCTGAATCACAATATCTTGTCATTCTTAATTTATATATCGGAATTCTGGCTGTTTTCATAGAATTCAGAGTTTATATCTTGCAATTCTGAAAAAAAAAAGTCAGAATTGCGAGATTTAAACACAGAATTCTGATTGACTATCCATCATTTTCACAGAATTCTAAGTTTACATCTTGCTATTCTGTGTTTTTGTTTCTGTTATGGAACATAGAATTAAAAATTTAATTTAGAATTTTTATCTCACAATTTAAACTTCTCAGACTTCTCAGAGTTCATATTTTCCAATTCTGACTTTTTTTTGCGGAATTGAGAGAAAAAAGGTCAGAATTGTGAGGTTTAAAAAAAGTCAGAACTGTGAAACTTACCGGGACTTGTCACCACACTCACACATTGTTGCTCTTTTGTTAGTTTGATTGCTTCTATTGTCCTCATTTGTAAGTCGCTTTTGATAAAAGCATCTGCTAAATGACTAAATGTAAATATAAATGTAAATAAAAGCTCAGAATTGTGAGGAAGAAGTTGCAATTACCTTTTTATTGTTACTATTATAATTATAATTTTTTATCTCATGGCAGCAAAAAGCTTCCATATCACTGACGTTCATTACACAAAAACACAGAAGAAAGTCAGTCATAGAGTTTTGGAACAGCTTGAGGTTAAGTAAATGATTTTTGGGTGAACTATCCCTTTAGGAGAAGATCATGCACTCTAAACATGTCTCATTTTAATACCTTAAGTATTACAAAGTCCCTAATGCAAGAGGACTATAAAATCATGCCTGTTGGTCATGTTTCACATGCAGATGCTGGATCTGTCATGTTGGTCAGAGGCTGGATACGTTCAGATAGCCACACAGGCAACACTAGATGTCAGTGTTCTCGCTGATGTCGGGCTGCCAGCTTTTTGTTTGTGGGAAGGGGAGGGAAAAGCAAATAGTTTGAGAAGTTGATTCTTGCACTTTAGAACTTGGGGGTCCTAATGGATTTCCTTCTATTAGAGGGACTGTCTATGAGGAGTTAGGGGCTATTACTGTGCCAAGCCTGATCACAGGGCATCACTTTCATCTTGCCAACACTTGTATAATTAGCAGAAATTTGCTGAGGTGTGTTTTCTCCTTCCTTCATTTCCTAAGATGAATAATCAGGAGTATAGACTAAACTCCCTTTCTTAACTCCTGGGATGCAAAAGTTAAATGCAAAATTAATGGTTTATCTTATATAGAAGATATATTTCGTATTTTTGTTTTCTGTTTGCGCTTTGAAGCTGTTGGATTCACCTAACATGCCTTAGACTCTTCTGAAGGCGCATACCATAAGTATGAGGTTTGACAGAAAATGTGCTGCATTACAATTAAAGCATTTTTCTCATGTGTGCTCCATCTTGTTCTTAATGATCATAAACAATAACTTGAGTCATAAATAATCTCTCCCCTCACGAGAGTTTTAATCTCGAGTATAAAACATGCCTGTGGTCAGACCATAATACTATAAATCTCTCAGGGTCATTCTATCTATATCTCTTCTTTTCCATTCTGAAAGGGTGATTTAAAGTAGGCTAAGTCAATTTCATTCTATGCACTATGAGTACTATATAAAATGTGTATAAAATATTATAGATGTGTATTTTTTGAGAAATAGGATGAATTGTTTATATCATTATTTAATTGTTGATGTCAGCCTTTCCAAGTTTAAGTAAATGTAATTGTTGACACTTGTATGCTTCTGACACATTGGCACCTCTTGGTGAAATGACCCCTAGCGCTGAATCTACTCAATTTCGAGATGACGTTACGGGGGACGGCTCAGGGTCGATGTTTGTGAGCACCAATCAGAGCGCAGAAAAACCCGGAAGTTCTGAGAGTGTAAGAAAGAGCGCCTGCATTCAATTTGAAAAGAACGAACAACATCAGGTACGGAATGTTTTTATATTTATACATTGTTCTATATCGCTATTTAAACGGTTTAGTAAATTGTAACTGTATCATGACGGTGTATAGGCTATAGCCTACTTTACAGTCTAGTTTTAATCTCAAAAACACATAACAACAGAAGTGTAACGTTTGTGTTCAGTCATCAGAAAAAGTTTTTTTTTTTTTTTTTTTTTTTTGTAATTCAGATATGTCATACTTAATATGCAATCCCCTGCGTTTAGTCGTGAGCTAATGAAAATCGTCTGTCTTTGCGTTCAATATGGTGACCTCGTAATAACTTTGAAAAGCTGTTTTGAAAATAGTTACAGAAATAGGATCCAAAAAGTTTTGTTTTAGCAAACATAAAAGCAGCACACTTGTCACTCACTGCCTGTTGACATGAAAGAGGTTTTAATGTCAAAAATAATGAATTGTTAATCAACTAAAAAGCAAGTAAAGCTACTTATTTATTTAACCCTTAGGTTCTGTTTAAGATCTAAGAGACCCTTAAAGTGAAGTATGTTTAAATGTATACTAAAGATTGATACTTGATACTTTTATGAATTGTAAGAGCTGATTATAAACAACATGTCTTACTCGATGAGATCATATTTCAATGACTAAAGTTAAATTACTTGTATCTGTAGTCTCAGTGACCCTATATATTAAACAATAATAGACTGTTGAAGTACACCCCTGCTGCAAAAACACAAAGAAAAATACAAAACAAATGCAGCTAGTTTAATAGGCCCATTTGTTTTTTGTTTTTGTTTTTTTATTTATTTTCTATATATATATAATTTCAATAATGCCTTGTAAACTGAGCCCAATATGAATAATTTTAGTATTACTTAGTCTACTGTATATATGCTGTAAAATCCCGCAGTGATGGAAAAACCTAGAAATCTAGATTTCTTGGGCCTGCAAAAATCATGGAAATGAGTAAAGTCTTAAGAAGTCATGTGAAAGTCATGGACATTTCTATAGGGAATCTAGCTTAAATGTTTATGCTTTTGCTCCGCTCCGAAATATTTAATCGGCTAGTTGTTGAATAAACTAAAATGGCAAAGCTAAATAAACTAAAGCTAATAAATACAAATGAATTTTAAAAAGACTGTATTAAAAAACTAAAAGTAACAAAAATACTAAAACTAACTCAAATGAAAGAAACAGAAAATATAAAAAGTGAAATCTAATTCAAAATATTACCAAAAACTATAATATTAAATCAATTATAATGGCACTGCAGATCTTACCAAAACCATCAGAGCAATAAAAGGGAGTGGGGATATTTGGACGTGCTCCAGCTCCACCCCTCATCCATGCGGCTCTTCTGGGAAACAGACCTGTGGATTTGCTAATGATGATGATGATGTTGCACTGCTTTATTTGCAGGTGTTACCCAACACCTTTATATTTAGATACAAGAGTGTTTGTAAAGAAAACCAGGGTTTGTCTGTGTAATTTTCTATATGTATGCATAAAACCTTATCCTGAACAAAAGAAAGTGGTTTTGTTTAATATAAGCGCTGAGTTATGCATACAATCCTGGCCAGTTGCTCCATATTTAGTCTTTTTAACTAGGTACTCCTGACCCCAGTCCTCCTCAGCTGGCTTTTAATTGGCTTCACTGGGCCTAAAATGCTGAAATATTTCTTGAAATTGACTGCTTATTTGAGTGTCGCGAGTGATGCAATTTACAGTAAGTTGCTGGTAAAAATGGACCGTGGCTTCAGACACAGCACTTAGCAGAGGCTGCACGGGGTACACACAACTTCAGGGGATTCATTTCACATTTGCTCTGGTTTTATGGAGGTTTTGTACAAACAAGGGGATGGGTCGCACCACAAAGGCAGATGGGATGGGATTTTTTTGGTGCTTTCACTCCTCATGGATACCCGTATGCGCGCCTCTCAGTCTTTTCAGGTTGATCGGGTTGCCTTGTTTACAGTGTGTTATAGAAGGGCTGACGCCAGCCTCCCTCGGGAGGGAACAAGGGTTAATTGCTGTTAAAGTGTTGGTCTCGTTCCTCTTTCTTGCCCTGATGCTCCATTAGAGCTGACACTAATGAGGCAGTGCAGAGAGGACACCCCAGAGTCGAGGGACAGCACCACCGGCTGGGGGAGGGAGTCATGATGGAGAGACTTTACTTAGCTGAGAGAGAAAGCATGTACTAAGTCATAGATCAAGAGTGTGTGGTGTTCAGTGTTGTTGGGATGTGTGTAGGTGTGGCTTCTCTTAATTGGTGGCTTATCCTCTGCATATGTTGTTTGTTTGTCATTACCAATTCATAGGGGACTGGATTGCTGGTCGTCCCTCATACTTGGCCAATGGCATTTGCTTAGCTATTGTACCATATTGATTGAAATGTATAAATGTCAAAATACGGATTTTCAACACCCTAATAATAGAAATGATGAAATTAGCTAAATACGTACTTTTGTAAAAAAAAAAAAAAAATTTGATCATTGATTAAAGTCAGCAGAAGATGTGAGGCTGCTCTAAAATCAATCATCAAATTAAATATTAATTTTTTTTATTTTAATAAGTACTACATATAATTATATTAGTTTTATCAAATACAATGGAAAACAAAATAAATTTATATGATATTTTATATAAAATTATAAGTTATTTAAAAAAATATGAATATGAACAAACTCGGTGAAAGATAAGGATGAAATAATTTCAGAAAATCGTTTAATATTTTAAATATTTTCCATTTATTTTATATTAATTCTATTTAAGAACTATGTAGAATTCTATAAATTGTCAACAATTTATAAAACTATTATTATTAAATTATTTTATCAAATTATGAATTATTAGAAATACAAATGTTATTATATAAAATATATATCGTTATTAAATGTGATTACAGTGTATTGTGTGGGTGTGTATATATATATATA